GGTACATCACTCTTGGGGCCCTCTTGGGGCCCTCTGAGGGCCCTCTTGGAGCCCTCTTGGGGCCCGGGTTGGCCCTAAGAGGGCCCCAAGAGGGCCCCAAGAGGGCTCCAAGAGGGCCCCAGGAATTATGTACCAACCCAGCGGCCGCTGGTACATAACTCCTGAACCCTCTTGGGGCCCTCTTGGAGCCCTCTTGGGCCCCTTGTTGGCCCACATGATGGCTCCAAGAAGGCCCTAAGAGGGCCCCCAAACGGGCCCAAGAGGGGCCCAAGAGAGGCCTCAGAAACCGCTAGTAGGTGTCATCGATCAGCGCGTCTGGATGAGACCTCTCAGTGGTCTCTGGGGCGCGTCTTGGAGCCCTCTTGGGGCCCTCTGGAGCCCCCTGGGTGCTCCCAAAAAGGTTCCAAGGGACATCCGAAGGGGTGGAGGGGGAGTTGGACGGGGAGTGGAGGGGGAGGTGGAGGGGGGGCTGAGGTGGGTGGTGGAGGGGGGGTGGAGGGGGGGTGGGGGGGTTGGTGGAGGGGGAAGGGAGAGGGAGAGGGAGAGGGGTTTGATTAGGAAACTGGAAGAGGTTTGACGACCACGACGACGACGACGACGATGACGACGACGACGATGACGGCGACAACCACGATGACGAGTGGGCGCCTTGGAGTTCTCGTGGGCCGTCTTGGAGGCGCCTTGGGGGCCTTTTGGACCGTCTGGAGGCCGTCGTGGGGCCGTCTTGGAGGCCTCTTGGGCGCTCTTGGGGCCATCTTGGGGGTCTCTTCGGCGGCACTGGGCCGTCGGCAGGCCGAAAACGTTAAAATCCATCAAGAGCCCACGGGAAATCAGCTGTCTTGGCCTCTTCGGGCCTTCCTGCAGGTCCCCTTGGAGGCTTCTTGGACTGCATTAAAAGCCTCTTGGGGGCCTTTGGGGCCGTCCTGGGCCATCTTGGGGCCATCTTGGAACGCCTCGGTTGCATCTTGGGCCGTCTTGGAAACATATTGGGGCCGTCTTGGGCTCTCTTGGAGCGATCCTAGCCGCCTTGGAGGCATCTTGGTGGCCATCTTGGGCCATTTGGGCCGTCTTAGTGGCGATGTGGCCACACCTTCTGGTCCTTCCGAGGGCAGGCGGTCTGGGCCGAAGGCCACTGGGAAGGGTTTGAAAATAAGAAGAGCAGCAAAATGTCTGGCACGCCGTCCACCCCTGTGGCAAGCACAGGGGGCGGCGGATCCAAGACGCCTACGGCGAATCACCGCCGCCCCCAGCCTTTTTGAGAAGCGCCTATGTGGCCAAACGTTGGGCCCCAGCTTGGCCAAGCTATCTGATTATGTATTCCCCCAGCCGCTCCGGAAACTCTTCGGGGAACACTTGGGGGAGGCTAAGGGGGAGGATCAGGAGAGGGAGGAGGAGGAGGAGGAGGAGGAGGAGGAGGCCTCTTGGGAGCCTCTTTGGGCACTCTTGTGGGGCCTCCTGGAGGCTTCCCGGGGGCCTCTTGGAAGCCTCTTGGGGGCCTCCTTAGGCCTCTTGGGGGCCGTGGGGGCGTCTTGGGGGCCTCTCCTTGGCCGTCTTGAAGCGTTCCTGGCCCGTCTGACGGGTCTGACGCCGTCGGAAGCCATCTTGGGGGCCTCTTTGAACCGATGTGGGGTCCTCTTGAGGCGCTTCAGGGCCGTCTTGGAGGCCATCTTGGGCGTCTTAGAGGCCTCTTGGGGAGGAGGAGGGAGGAGGAGGAGGAGGAGGAGGAGGAAGAGGAGGAGGAAGAGGAGGGGGAGGGGGAGGAGGAGGAGGAGGAGGAGGAGCAGGAGGAGGAGGAGGAGGAGGTTGAGGAGGAGGAGGAGGAGGAGGAGGAACAGGAGGAAGAGGAAGAAAAGGACCTGGAAAAGCAGGCGAAGAGGGAGTAGGAAGAGAAATAGGGAGGAGGACCAGGAGAAGGAGGCAGGGGGTAGGAGCGAGGAGACACAGTCGGACAGCGAGAGACAAAGTCGGAGCAACCCCAAACCCCCAGTCTGGGGGCGCCCAAGAGTCTGAGCAGCACCTTTTTCAGATCCGGCCGATTTCGTTGGGAGGCTCTCGGTGGGCGGCTCTCGGTGGGCGCACCCTCTCTCTCTCTCTTTCACTAATGCTGATGTTCTTTCCGGGCCGTTGTGGGGACGTGTTGTGGCCCTCTTGAGTTGTAGAGGGGCCCTCTCAGGCCGTCGAGGGTACCTCCGAAGGCCCGCCTGGGTCATCTTGGGCCCCTCGTGCGCCGTCCTGGGGCAATATTGGAGACCTGATAGGCCATTTTGAGCCGACGGATGCCCGAAAAGGCAACGATGCCACAACAATTCCAACACGCAATCAATGAGTTAGCCTCTGTGGACCTTCTTGCAAAACTGCGGCTGGACATGGTGCTTGCAAAACTTTCGCACCATCCACTGATTACAATGTAACGCATCGCATGCATCATATGTCCCGCCTCCCTCCTCATCATGCCGTTTTTAGGTCATCCGACGCACGTGATACTAGGAAGAGGGTCGCATGGAATGTACAGCAAGTAATCCGCGTTGAGCACAACATCGTTGACCGCACAGGGAACACCACAATTCGAAAGCACGGTGAAAATTGTCCTAGCGAAGGACCCAACCATATGCAGGTGTGAGTACCGCGTTGTGGGTGCCCCTTCGGTGCAGCTCCCTCTGGGGCCACGAAATGCGTGAGAGGTGTGCGGTAATGGTGGTGGTGTGGAGCGCATGCGAGCTGTGAGGTTGGGGCCTTAGGTGGAGCTCCCTATGGGGCCACGAAACGTATGAGCGGTGCACCGACATTGGTCCAGTGTCCGCATGCGAACGTTGCCAATGATGCCGTCGGTGCACGCGGCCACGGCCGTTGGAGCCTTCAGAGGAGCTCCCTATGGGGCCACGAGGTGCCGCTCTGTGTGAGGGCGAGCATGCTTTCGCAGCTATTGGGGCCTTCGGTGGAGATCCTTATGGGGGTACGGAACGATGTATTGGATGGTGGGAGACGCATGCGGCCGCGGCCACTGGGGCCTCAAGTGGAGCTCTCTATGGGGCCACGAAACGTGTGAGAGGTGTGCCAACATGGGGGGAGAAGCATGTGGACCCTCTCACTAGGGCCTTCGGTGGAGCTCTTCTTGTAGACATGAAACGTGCCAAGAGTGTACCGAAATGAGGCGGGGAGACGCATGTGGACCTCCCACTGGGGCCCTCGGTGGAGCTCTTCGTGTGGACACGAAACGCGTGAGGGGTGTGCCGACAAGGGGCGGGGAGACGCATGTGGACCATTCCACTGGGGCCTTCGGTGGAGCCCCCCTATGAGGCCACGAAACGTTCGAGGGGTGTGCCGAAATGGGGCGGGGAGATGCAAGTGGACCCTCCCACTGGGGCCTTCGGTAGAGCTCCCGATAGGGGACACGAAACGTGCGAGGGGTGTGCCGAAATGGGGCGGGGAAGCGCATGTGGATGCTGGGGCATTCGGTAGAGCTCCCTATGGGGCCACGAAACGCTGTACTGGGTGACGGAGACGCATGTGGACTCTGCCACTGGGGCTTTCGGTGGAGCTCCCCATGGAGGCCCGAAACGTGTGAGAAGTGTGTCGAAACCGTGACATGAGGAGGGTGAAGGATAGGATAGGAGGGGGAGGAGGAGATGGAGAAAAGAGGAGGCGCAAGGACTGTCTCTTCAAAATGAGGACCCAACACCGAAGGACAGTTGGGAAAAAAACAACAGCTTCATAAGTCCACCGACCCTTCAGCTTGTGTGAGACGCTGTCGTCGCCTTAGCTGTCGTCGTGTTCGACGTCGTCGCCAGTCCCAAGAGAAGAAGGAACGAACAGAGAGAAGAACCGTCGTCGTTAAGCCGATGTCCTCCCATTCCTCCCCTTCCCGACGGGGGATGAGTGGGGGTGGGGATAGGGAGGAGGGACTGGGCGGGGGAGGAGAGGCGGGTAGGGGGAGAGGAGGAGGAGGAGGAGTGGGGAGGAGGAGGAGGAGGAGGAGGAGGAGGAGGAGGGAGGAGGAGGAGGAGGAGGAGGAGGAGGAGGAGGTACTGCCCCCCCCCCCCCGGGCCCTGGCAGATCCAGGGGGGGGGGTCCTCCTCCTCCCCCTCCTCCTCCCCCTCCCTCCTCCCCCTCCTCCCTCCTCCTCCTCCTCCTCCTCCTCCTCCTCCTCCTCCTCCTCCTCCTCCTCCTCCTCCTCCTCTGGGACCCCAGCGGGTCCCTGGAGAGGGGCGCCGGCGGGAGTCCCGCGGGGGCGGTCTGGTCCTCGGGGTCGGCGGCGGCACCGGCTGCAAGAGGCCTTCACCAATAGACTGCGGAAACGGCCCACTCCCGCAGACAGTACAGTATTCTGCCTGACCTAGGGAACGATGAATAAGGAACGAAGCCCCTTTATGTCCAAGTAAGTCTGGGAAGTCCGAAGGAACACCAGGGGGCTCGCCGCCATAAAAGGAGCGGAACGCATGCAAACCAAAGGAACGACCGAGCCGCCCCTTTTGAAAAGCAAGTGCTCCTTATTCAAACCGGATCCTGTAAGGGCTCGACCACAGGAAACCTTCCGCAAGAAACCCAACCCTGAGACCCCAGGACGTCCATGGACTTTTGCTGTTGGAACGTCACGCTTCCCACAGCAAAAACCATCGAAACAAAAGAAGCCCAGGGCACCCTGGGGGCAAGCAGAGTGTTTCTTAGCATGGGTCTCCACTGTACCGACCAGACGAAAACTTCGGCGGCGCTGCTTGGAGCACAATCGCCCCATCGAAGATTCGGCGATCTCGAAACACCACAGAACCGTCGCTGCTGGGAAGCCTTAAACCTGGAATCGGCGATACGTCGCAGACAGATCGGCCAAAGGTCGCCAGTGGCGAATCCGCGCGTTCCCTGGGTGCGGTGGGCTATCGGGCCCCCATCGGCGAGCAGTGGGCGATTGGCGGTCGACGCATCCGCCACTGAGCCCATCCCCCCCTGACATTGCCAACGAGGGGGGAGGTGCGCCGAACTCTCTCAAAGAGGAGCCTCTTCTCCTCCTCTGCCTCTGGATATGGCCCTCCACGAGGTGAGCGTGGGCAGCGCCCCCTGCCTTGGAGTCGCTGGCGTCGTCGGCCAGAGGCTCGAGGATCTGCATCCCGTTCACCTGGCGAGGAGGGGGTAGGAGGGGGGTGCGAAAGGCGGCAGGATAAGTCTTCATCGAATCGGGATGTCGGACCGAATCGGACGTGCGGGGGATCGGGCTGCATCGGCAAAATGTCGAGATCGAGGACCGGCTGCGTCAGGATGCACGACAACGCCGTGCAAGCATCGAGCCGCAAGAAATCGTCGGACTGTCAGAACTGAATCGGATCGAGCCGGGAAAAATCGAGATCGAGTCGGACCAGAATTGACCCTCGGAGGTGAGGTGAAGGGGGAGGTAGACTGGGAGGTAGCCTGGGGGAGGAGGGGGAGGAGGAAGGGGAAGAGAGGATGGAGGAGGAAGGAGGCGGACTGAGGACGGAGGAGGAGCAAGGATGAGGAGGACGGCGACGACGACGAAGATGAGGACGACCACGTAGGGAAATGAACAAGAGGGGAAAGAGGAGGGGGAGGAGGAGAGGGAGGAGGAGGAGGGGGAGGAGGAGGAGGAGGAGGAGGAGGAGGAGGAGGAGGAGGAGGAGGAGGAGGAGGATGAGGAGGAGGAGACGGAGGAGGAGCTGGAGAGGAGAAGGAGCTGAAGGAAGAGGAGGAGGAGGCGGTGGGAGGGGGAGGGAGAGAAGGGGGCAGGAGGATGAGAAGCAGCAGGTTGCCTCGCCAGAGAAAAGCATTTCGCCTATGCCATGGATATCAAGACGGCCGTCTAGGAAACGGCAGGCGAGGCGTGTCAAGCGCTGGACAGAACCCGAGAGAGAGCTCACAGAAAAAGTCACAAAGATCGCAAGATGGATTGGCCAGGACATGTGCCACCGGTCTACCACGCTGGTCACCCTCACTGGCAGGAAGACCTTGCTGTTGAGCTTCAGCCACTCCCCCTCGCAGCGGCTTGAAAACTGCAAGGCACTGACGACACATGTTCCTAGCGAAGGACCCAACCAAATGTAGCTGTGAATACCGCGGTGCGGCTACTATTTTCGGTGGAGCTGCTTGTGGGGGCACGAAGCGCACCAGGGGTGTGCTGCAATGGTGGTGGGGTGCCGAACTGGGGCGGGGAGACGCATGTGGACCCTGGGGCCTCCGCAGGAGCCCCCCATCTGGCCTACGAAACGCTGTGCTGGGCAGAAGAGACGCATGTGGACCCTGCCACTGCCTTCGCTGGAGCTCCCTATGGGGGCGCGGAACGTGTGAGGAGTGTGCCGAAGTCGGGCAGGCAGGCGCCTTGGGCCCTGCCAGGGGCGTCTTCGGTGGAACTCCCCTGTGGGCCACGAAACGCTGTACTGGGTGGGGGGCACTCACGTGGACCCTGCCACTGGGGCCTTGGGTGGGGCTCCGTGTGGGCCACGAAACGATGTACCTGGTGGGCGAGACGCATGTGGACCCTGCCACGGGGGCCGTCGATGAAGCTCCCTGTGGAGGCAAGAGACAGCGCACTGGGTGGGGAGGACGCATGTGGACCCTGCCACTGGTGCCCTCGGTGAAGCTACCTATGGGCCACAAAACGATGTACTGGGTGACGGAAACGCATGTAAAACCTGTCTCTGGGGCCTTCGGTGGAACCCCCCTATGGGCCACGACACCCTGCCACTGGGGCTTAGTTGTTCTTAAAAACGCTGGGGGCGTTTTTTTTTCCGTTTTCAACTTCTGGCGTTGCGGTCGACCAAAACAGAACAAAAACGGTAACGCAAAACGTGCCCAAAACGATGTGACCAGGACCAAAACGTAACAAAAACGGCGGGCGAAAACGCACACAAAACGGAGAACCAAAACAGAAAAAAACGGCACGGGCTTTGAGAGGCTCGCAAAAACGGCGACGAAAACGTACAGCAAACGGCAGGTGAAAACGATTAAAAAACGGATCGCTAAACTAACCGAAAACGGCAAGGCGCAAATCCAAAACAGAAAAAAAACTGTTCCCAAAACAGAAAAAAAAACGTCGATCTCCAAAACGGAAAAAAAAAAAAAAAAAAAAAAAAAAAACGTCCCCAGCGTTTTTAAGATCATCTAAGCACTGGGGCCTTGGGTGGGGCTCCGTGTTGGCCACGAAACGATGTACTGGGTGCGGGAGACGCATGTAGACCCTGCCACTGGTGGAGCCCCGCTATGAGCTACGAAACGCTGTACTGGGTGGGGGAGACGCTTCGGTGGACGCTCTATGGCGCCAGGGAACGTGTATGGGGCGTGCCGACATGTTAGACTGATGCGGAGAGCAGAAGAAGGGAGGGGGAGCAGGGAGGAGAAGGAGGCAGAAGGTGGGGTGGGACGCGGGACGCTGCCTCGTCAAAACAAGACCCAAGACCACAGGTTTGTTGGTGGGGTGCCAAAACGGGGCAGGGAGACGCAAGTGAACCCTACAACTGGTGGAACTCGTTGTGGGGCCACGGATCGTGTGAGGAGTGTGCCAAAACCCGGCAGGGAGACGCAGTGGACCCTGCCACTTGGGCCGTCGGTTGAGCTCCCTATTGGGCTACAAACCGCTGTACTGGGCGGGGGAGACGCATGTGAACCCTGCCACTGGTGCCCTCGGTGGAGCTACCTATGGGCCACGAACCGCTGTACTGGGAGGGGGGAACGCGCGTGGACCCTGCCAATCCGTCGGTGGAGCTCCTCTTGTAGAGCCACGAAACGCTGTACTGGGTGGGGGAAACGCGTGTGGACACTGCCACTGCGGCATTCGGTGGAGCTCCCTATGCGCCACGAAACCCTGTACTGGGTGGGAGAGACGCATGTTGACCCTGCCACTGGGGCCTTCGATGGAATTCCCGAATGGGGCCACGGAACGTTGTACCCGGTGGGGGGAGACGCATGTGGACCATGCCACTGGGGCCTTGGATGGAGCTGCCTATGGGCCACCAAAAGCTGCACTGGCTGGGTGAAACGCGTGTGGACACTGCCACTCCTTCGGTGGAGCTCCTCGTGTAGAGCCACGAAACGAAGTACTGGACGGGGGGGCGCATGTGGATTCTGCCACCGGGGCCTTCGGTGGAGCTCCCTATGTGCCACGAAGCGCTGTACTGGGTGGGAACGGGGGGAGAGGCATGTGGACCCTGCCACGGGTGCCTTCGGTGGCCCCCAGATGGGCCGAGAAGCAGTGTACTTGGTGGGGGGGGACGCATGCGAACCCTGCCACGGGAGCCTTCGGTGAAGCTCCCTATGGGGCCACGAAACGCTGTACTGGGTGGGGGAGACGCATGTTGGCCCTGCCGCCTGCCATCGGTGCATTCGGTGAAGCTCCCTATGGGGCCACGAAGCGCTGTACTGCGTGGGGGCGGCGCATGTAAACTCTGTCACTGGGGCGGAGCCCCCTATGGGCCACGAAACGCTGTACTGTTTGAGGGAGACGCGCATGTGGACCCTGCCACTGGGGCCTTCGGTGCAGCTCCCTGTGAGGGCACGAAACGCTGCACTGAGCGGGGGAGACGCATGCGAACCTTGCCATTGGGCCCATGGGTGGGGCACCCCAGGGGCCACGAAACGCTGTACTGGACGGGGGAGACGCATGTAAGCCATGCCACGGGGGACTTCGGTGGAGTTCCCTATGGTCCACGACACGATGCACTGGAGCGCATGCGAACCCTGCCACTGTTGCCTTCGGCGGAGCCCCCTGTGGGCCACAGCATGCTGTGCTGGGTGGGGGAGGCGCATGTAGGCCCTGCCACTGGGGCATTCGGTGAAGCCGAAACGCTGTACTGGGCGGGAGAAGACGCATACAAACCCTGCTACTGGGGCCCCCAGAGGGCTCCATATGGGCTACGAAACCCTGCACTGTGTGGGGGAGGTGTGTGAGAACTTTGCCACTGGGGCTTTCGGTGGAGCTCCCTGTGGGGCCACGAAACGCTGTGCTGGGTGGGGGAGGCGCATGCGAACTTTGCCACTGGGGCCTTCGGTGGAGCTCCCCATGGGGCCACGAAACGCTGTGCTGGGTGGGGGAGGCGCATGTGAACTTTGCCACTGGGTGGGGGAACAGCATGTTGACCCTGTCACTGGGGCCTTCGGTGGGGCTCCCGATGGGCCACGAAGCGCTGCGCTGGGTGAGGGAGACGCATGCGAGCTTTGCCACTGGGCCCTTCGTTGGAGCTCCCTGTGTGGACACGAAGCGTGTGAGGCGTGTTCCGGCATGGGCACGCGGAGGGCAGAAGCAAGGGATGGGAGGCGGGAGAGGGGGGAGACACGGGGACGGTCTCTTCAAAACGAGGACTCAACATCACAGGATGGTTGGGAAATTCGTGTGCACCGGGATGGCGTCTGAATAATGCGTATGCAAATTCGGCGCCGTGGTCACACAATGACGGGGCGTTAGAATGCGTGGCAGTTGTCTGGTGGGGGTTCTGTAGTTTTTGTCGAGGCTGACCCCCTCGCCCCACGCGAATTCACAAAATGTCCTCCTGCTTGACAATTGAACGGATGGCGGGCTCACTGTGCACATGTATGTACACACGCATGCACGTAGAATAATACGATTAGCGAAGGCCCGAATATCCACCAGAAACTATACGTATTAGCCTGGCGGAGAAAACAACCATATGCAGGCATGGGCAACGTCGTTGCATGCACCGCATTCGGTGGGGCCACCGTGTGGGGCCACGAAACGGGTGAGGGGTGTGCCAAAATGGGCACGGCGGGCGCGCGCGGACGCTGGCAGTTGGGCCTTCGGTGGGCCCCCTATGGGGCCACAGAGCGTGTGGGGGGTGTGCCAGAAGGCGTGCGGTAGGCGCGTGCGAACGCTGGCAGTTGACCGTTCGGTGGGGCTCCCAATGGGGCCGCGAAGCGCGTGAGGGGTGAAAGAAAGTGAGCGCGGTGGGCGCATGCGAACGCTGGCGTTTGGGCCTTCGGTGGGGCTCCCTATAAGGCCGCGAACCATGTAAGGGGTGTGCCAAAATGGGTGCGGCGGGCGCGCGTGCGAACGCTTTCAGTTGGGCATTCGGTGGGGCGCCCTATGGTGCCAAGAAACGTGTGAGGGTGTGCCAAAACTGGGCGCGATGGGCGCATGCGAACGCTGGCGTCTGGGCCTTCGGTGGGGCTCCCCATGGGGCCAGGAAACATGTGAGGTGTGTGCCAAAATGAACGCGGTGGGCGAATGCGAACGCTGGCATCTGTGCCTTCGGTGGGGCTCCCTATGGGGCCACGCAACGTGTGAGGGGTGTGCCAAATGAGTGTGGTGGGTGCATGTGAACGCTGGCAGTTGGGCCTTCGGTGGGGCTCCCTATGGAGCCACGAAGCATGTAAGGGGTGTACCAAAAGTGAGTGCGGCGGGCGCATGCGAACGCTGGCATGTGGGCCTTCGGTGGGGCTCCCTATAGAACCTAAACGCGGGAAGGTGTGCCCGAAGGTGCGATGGGCGCATGCGAACTCTGGCAGTTGGGCCGCTGGTGGGGCTCCCTATGGTGCCACGAAACGTGTGAGGGGTGTACAGAAACGTATGCGGTGGGCGCATGCGGACGCTGGCATGTGGGCCTTCGGTGGGGCTCCATATGGGGCCACGAAGCGTGTGAGGGGTGTGCCACATGAATGTGGTGGGTGCATGTGAACGCTGGCAGTTGGGCCTTCAGTGGGGCTCCCTATGAAGCCACGAAGCGTGTGAGTTGTGTGTGTGCCAAAATGGGTGCGGCGGGCGCATGTGAACGCTGGCAGTTGGGCCTTCGGTAGGGCTCCCGATGGTGCCACGAAACGTGTGAGGGGCGTGCCGAAATGGGTATGCGGAGGACGGAGGAGCGCAGCGAGGAGGGGGGGAGGAGGGAGGAGTGGGACGCGGGGCGGTACCTCTTCACCCAAAACAAAGACCCAACACCACAGCATGGTGAGGAATCAGAAATGGTCCTGGCAGAGGACCCAACCGTACGCAATTGCGAGCTCCGAAATGGGCGGGCGCCTCCAGGCG